TTGATGGGATAAAGATAGAAATGTTAAAAGCAGGTGGGGATATAGTTTTGGAGTGGTTGGTGCAATTATTTAATAAATGTATGGAAGAGGGTAAGGTACCTAGGGATTGGCAGAGAGCATGCATAGTTCCTTTGTATAAAGGCAAAGGGGATAAAAGAGAGTGCAAAAATTATAGGGGGATAAGTCTGTTGAGTATACCTGGTAAAGTGCACGGTAGAGTTACAATTGAAAGAATTAAGAGTAAGATGGAGAATAGGATAGCAGATGAACAAGGAGGCTTTAGGAAAGGTAGGGGGTGTGTGGACAGGTGTTTACAGTGAAACATATAAGTGAACAGTATTTAGATAAGGCTAAAGAGGTCTTTGTGGCATTTATGGATTTGGAAAAGGCATATGACAGGGTGGATAGGGGGGCAATGTGGCAGATGTTGCAAGTGTATGGTGTAGGAGGTAGGTTACTGAAAGCAGTGAAGAGTTTTTACGAGGATAGTGAGGCTCAAGTTAGAGTATGTAGGAAAGAGGGAAATTTTTTCCCAGTAAAAGTAGGCCTTAGACAAGGATGTGTGATGTCACCATGGTTGTTCATTATATTTATAGAAGTGATTGTAAGAGAAGTGAATGCTCGGGTGTTGGCAAGAGGTGTGGGGTTAAAAGATAAAGAATCTAGCATAAAGCGGGAGTTGTCACAGTTGCTCTTTCTGATGACACTGTGCTTGTGGGAGATTCTGAAGAGAGGTTGCAGAGGTCAGTGGATAAGTTTGGTAGGGTATGTAAAAGAAGAAAATTGAAAGTGAATATAGGAAAGAGTAAGGTGATGAGGATGACAAAAAAATTAGGTTGCGATAGATTGGATATCAGATTGAAAGGAGAGAGTATGGAGGAGGAGGTGAATGTATTCAGATAAAATGGTACCGTGACTTACGAATATAATTCGTTCTGTGACCAAGCTCATAACTCAATTTGCTCGTGTATCAAATCAATTTTCCTCATTGAAATTAATTGAAATGCCATTAATTCGTTCCAGCCCCCCAAAAACCACCCCGATTTTTTTGTTACGGGTTTTTAAATAAGAACCACCTTCACTACTCCACCCACCACTATCTCTACTACACCCACCACCGTCACTACTACACCCACCACCATATCTACTCCACTCACCATTATCACTCCTCCATCCACCACCATCACTACTCCACTCATCACCCTCACTACTCCACCCACCACCATCTCTACTCCACCCACCACCTTCACTACTCCACCCACTACTATTTCTATTACATCCACCACCCTCACTACTCCTTCTACTACCTACTCTACTCCACCAACCACCTTCACTACTCCACCAACCACCTTCACTACTCCACCCACCACCATATCTACTCCACCCACCATTATCACTACTCAACCCACCACCTTTACTACTCCACCCACCACCATCTCTACTTCACCCACCACCCTCGCTACTCCACCCACCACCATATCTACTCTACCCACCATTATCACTACTCTCTCCACCAACCACCATCTCTGCTCCACCCACCACCTTCACTACTCCACCCACCACCATATATACTCTACCCACCATTATCACTACTCCCTCCACCAACCACCATCTCTGCTCCACCCACCACCATCACTACTCCACCCACCACCATCTCTGCTCCACCCACCACCTTCACTACTCCACCCACCACCACTACTCCACCCACCACCATCACTACTCCACCCACCACCATCACTACTCCACCCACCACTATCACTACTCCACCCACCACCATCACTACTCCACCCACCACCATCACTACTCCACCCACCACTATCAGTACTCCACCTACTGAAGGAACCTTCGTGAGGCAGGTAAATATCATGGAGGCTTTCCTTAATGTTTCTGGAGAAACTCTGAGCTTTGAAATGGAGGTTACCTCTTCCCTGGATTTATATGAGAACCAAACAAGGGACGACGTGCCTCACTACAATCTGGGATTAGTTACTTCTTGGAAGAGCATGTGGGATGGGATGAAGTACCTGACATTCCTCTGGGTACAGAGTTAGATTTGACTTCAGATACGTTGCCAATTAGTGGCGGCATATCTGAAGCTCGCTCATAACTCGGATTTTGGCTTGCAACTCAAAGCAAAAAATTGACCAAGCGATGGCTCTTAACTCGGAAAACTCATCAGTTGGGGCACTCGTAAGTCAAGGTACCACTGTATTTAGGAGTGGACATGTCAGCAGATGGATCTATGAAAGATGAGGTGAATCATAGAATTGACGAGGAAAAAAGGTAGAATGGGGCACTGAGGAGTCTGTGGAGACAAAGAACTTGTCCATGGAAGCAAAGAGAGTACAATGGAACCTCAGTTTTCATAGGTCCTAGTCTGTATGTAAAACTATAGTTATTCTCTATAAAATGTATTTTTTGTTAATATTTTTGGGTGTCGGGAACGGATTAATTGGATTTACATTATTTCTTATGGGAAACATTAACAAAAAATACATTTTATAGAGAATAGCTATAGTTTTACATACAGACTAGGGCATACAAAAACTGAGGTTCCACTGTATAGTTATACCAACACTCTTATATGGGTGCGAAGCATGGGTGGTGAATGTTGCAACAAGGAGAAGGCTGGAGGCAGTGGAGATGTTGTGTCAGATGGCAGTGTGTGGTGTGAATATTGTGCAGAGAATTTGTAGTTTGGAAATTAGGAGGAGGTACGGGATTACCAAAACTATTACCCAGAGGGCTGAAGAGGGGGTTGTTGAGGTGGTTTGGACATGTAGAGAGATGGAACAAAATAGAATGAATTCGAGAGTGTATAAATCTGTAGTGGAGGGAAGGTGGGATAGAGGTCGGCTTAGGAAAGGTTGGAGGGAGGGGGTAAAGGAGGTTTTGTGTGTGAGGGGCTTGGACTTCCAGCAAGCATGCATGAACGTGTTAGGAGCGAATGGAGACAAATGGTTTTTAGGACTTGACATGCTGTTGGAGTGTGAGCAGGGTAGTATTTATGAAGGGATTCAGGGAAACCGGCAGGCCAGACTTGATTCCTAGAGATGGGAAGTACAGTGCCTGCACTCTGAAGGAGGTGTGTTAATGTTGCAGTTTTATAACTGTAGTGTAATCGTACCTTTGGCAAGACAGTGATGGAGTGAATGATGGTGAAAGTTTTTTCTTTTTGGGCCACCCTGTCTTGGTGGGAAACGGCTGATGTGTTAATAAAATGAAAGACTTGACTCAAACCAACTCATGATGTGGTGCTGACTTTGGTGTCGTATTGCTCCATATTATAGCATGGTATAGAAGTGGGTGTCACTTCAGGTGTGAAAGAACCAGCATTGAAGATGCAGAGTTGGTCATACCATCTTGTTAAAGTACTGACTCCAAGAATTGGTGGACAAAGTGCATGAAGCTGTAATGATTGACATATGAATAGCTATTACCTAAAATGAAGCTTTACCGAAATGTTGAAGTTGTTATCTCTATAAGACCTTTTGTGATGGTTCTACCCATTTCCATCTTGCACTCGGAAATGGCCAGTCTTCGCTGTGGCACAAGCAGGCCAGCTTCCCTTCCATGTGCCTTGGACCTCTTTTGTTTCACGGTAGACCTGGCTTTGTTTAAATTACTTCCCTCTCACTTCCCACCCACGCCACCACCAATTACCTTGTGGATGCATACCATACAATTTCTCTTGTGTTGTCATTCCATTTTTTATCTTTTTATCACCCTTTGCAGTGTCTCTATATTTATCGTGATAGGTACCAAGAAGTTTAAGCATGAAACTATTCCTGTAGCGAAGAAAATAGAAGTAATAGATATGCTTAAAGATCATGCACATGTGGTGCACATCCAAGGCCTGTGGGGTGAAGGAATCAACATTTGTTCGATTTGAGACATTGAATAGAAGATAGGAGCTTGTGTGATGAGTAATCCAAATTATGATATGTTGAAAAAATGGGAAAGCAGTCAATACAACTAGATAAATCTGAAAAAATGCTGAATGACTGGATTCAGGACATAACAAAAAAACCTGTACCACTTAATTCTATTGACGCTACCTGAAATTGTGATGCCGATGAAAAGAGATTCCTTAAAGCAATCTTGCAGAAATCAGTTTCAGAAATTGTCTGTATATAATTGAGCAGAGAGCACTTGCACATCTCAATTTTCTTTACAAATCTTCCCTTAATAATAATTGACCAGAATTTGAAATTTGATGCTGATTGGATAAGATGTTCTGAAGTTACCAACAAAAACCTTAGTTGGTATGAGGAAACTTCATATATCAGGCCCTTTCTTCAACAAGATGGCACCTAAATTGATGTCAGCAAAGAAATTAGTGAGATTGACAATTAAAATGAATTTTTATGAACAAGACTCAAAATTTTGTCAACATCTCCAAAATTTATGACATAACCCTAACACCACAGGCCCAGACTTGTGGAACTCTGTGTTCATCAAGAACTGCAAGAAACCCCCATCGCTTGCCTTATGTATGTTATGGAGAGGGGGCCTTGATACAGGAGTCATCCCACAGTTGCTAAACAACAATGGATATTGCCCCACTCCACAAAGGTGGCAGTAAAGCAATAACAGAGAATTGTAGACTGATAGCTCAAATGCCCTACATCATAAAAATCTTTGCAAGGGTTCTAAGAAGCACATCAAGCACTTTGATTCCCAGTCTAAAGATTTTCTGTAGTTCACTCAAAGTGAGCGTTATTTGTGATTTGTTCCAGTTACTGTACTGTAACTGTTATTCTTCTCTAAGTTTGTCAGTAAGTTATACTAAAAACAAAAACTGTTGAGTATATAGGGGGAGGTTATTCTTATGTACTGTTGAGGGAGTGAAGTTACTAATGTTATTATTTAGTACATTTAGAGTTTAAATATGTCAGAGCATATTGCTTTGATATTCATATATACTTTAATTTAAACTAATGCATCATGTATGAGGTTAATTATAAAGTACAAGTTGCCTTACACATCCTGATGGGCAGCAGGAGGACTCCCCATCACTGGGTGGACTACGAGCAGTTAAGGAAGGAGGAGAGGGCTCTCCACTGACTTCATTCCCAGCAGTTATTCCTGCAAACACTACCACTAATAATAATCCCAAGTGAGTGTCATATTGTTTTATATTGTGCATTGCATATACAGTATAAAGTATATTTTTATTAGCATAGTATCCTTTAATGTATTGAAAATTCATAATAATTGAATGTACCAATTCATTGAGGTGACTGCACTCAAACCTTTGGTTTAGTGGTGCCATGATTACCAGTTCACTGCTCTAACTCTCTATGATGGGGTGGTAAAGCAGTGGTTTAGTAATCTTGGGACCACCAGATTTCAGGTAAAAGTGCAATCACTCCACTGAAAAAGTTAATTATACAGTACCATACTCATTACTAAGTGCAGCAGTGTAAGATAGTTATAACTGTATTCTTTCTAAAAAAATAAACTTTTTTTTTTCAACGCACCAGCTGTATCCCACCGAGGCAGGATGACCTGGAAAGAAAAACAAAAAATTTTTCTTTTACATTCAGTAATTTATACAGGAGAAGGGGTTACTAACCCCTTGCTTCCAGCATTTTAGTCACCTCCTATGACATGTATAGCTTACAGGGGAAGAATTCTTTTCCACTTCCCCATGGTAGTCTTTGGTAGTCTTTGCAATTAAAAATTTTCTAGATAGATGAAAAATTCAGAATTTTAATTTTAACCCTTTCGGGGTGGGTCCCATAGCTTTGAAGCCCAGGTTGGTCCCATAGTTCTGTGCCAAAATTCTAGCGGCTTCAAATTTAACGTGAGAAAACTGGTAGGCCTACATGTGAGAAAATGGATCTACGTGGTCAGTGTTTTGTAAGGCTCGAAAGTCATAATTTTCAGAAATCATAACTTTTTTTCATCAAAACATTGACTTGCAAATCATTGTTTGACTCGCAGATAGTCATTCATCTGGGACGCATACGCATGGCCCCGAGCCACCTCACACTCTATTCTCAGCCAGTGTGCCATTGTTTATCAGTGAGTGAGGATGATCCCTTGAGTTCCTACGATACATTTCATAATATTCCATTCGTTTTAGTGCTTGCAACTGTTAAATAAGTCACCATGGCTCCAAAGAAAGCTTCTAGTGCCAGCCCTGTGGTAAGGAATGTGAGAAACGCATATAATTTAAGAAAAAGTTTGTAGAAAAATACGAAAGCGGTGGTGGTAGAGTGGTAGCAGTTGTGATAGTGGTAGAGAGTGGTAGTGGTGGTGGTAGAAGGTGGTAGTGATGGTGGTAGCAGTTGTGATAGTTTTGTCCTGTTGATGTTTTCCTAACTAGCAGTATTTTCCCATCTCGAGTGAAACACTGATGTATTTTGTTTTCCTGTTTAAGTTTTCTCAACTTGAACAGGTTTTGACATTTTCTCGTTAAATACTCATTGATGTACACTCCATTTTTCATTGTAATTTGTGGAAAATTACATTTACCTGGATGAATCTCATTAGATACATACAAGTAAATGGTAACAATGATAATTATTATTTATCAAAGTTACAGAGACAAGTAGGAATTTTTAGGACACCTAGGTCGCAAAAAATGTCCCCCTTCGATACCTACCATCTATCTTTCCAGAAGTTACTCTAGACCTATATTAATTGCAAATGAAATGTAGATCACCAGGAATTCTGGTAAATTTAATATAAATTTGTGGACTGTATATTAAAATTAATAAATGATTGCATATACATATTTACATAACAGAAGGAGAATTTATAATCATAACACTCAGCAATTTGACTGGAAATTATTGTGTATCATACTCAAAACCACCCACACCCTGTCTACATTTATGAAGAATTTTCTGGCCAGAACTTCTAAACATAAACATAAGACACTTAGCTGGGGTTCCTGGAGCTGTCTTGTCCATCTGCTTAATGCTCAAATTATCCAGGAATGCACATACAACAATTTCGGCTCCTATTTGAGAGGTTTTAAGCCCAATATAATCCCTAGAGCGACGAAAATTAAGCACATTACATTAGAGTGCTTGTACCACATTCAAAAAAAACAATGGCGACTCTCCCCTGCCCCTCAGCGCAGGCGCAGAGCTTCCCCTCTCGATTCTCTTTTTCATTTACAAATTAATGTTTATCAAATACAATGTATTACATTAATTTTCATAAAAATACGCTGGATTTTTCTGAAAATACATTATTTTCCACACTGCGGCCAGCCGGAGTTCGTTGCTAAACGACTCAAATTACTCCTTCCTTTAGGAGATAATTCCAGCCGGTTCTACCTTGAGTGGCTGTTCTCCTAGTAGGTCTTACTACAATTTCATCTTCCTGCATCACTTGGTCAGCTTTACCTTCAGTATCACTTGTGTCACTTTCCCTTAGATTTTCATTTACGTTTGATTGAATACCACTTAATTCCAAGGGAATCAATTTATTAATTGTGCGTAAACTTTCCTGGCCACGACACAACACTTTGACATTCCGGACAACACCTTGTGCATCTGGGTACATTGTCAATACATGTACTTTGCCCAGAGGCCACAATGTTCAATGTTGTTCAGTATCAATTAACACAATGTCACCTGGTTGAATGTTCTGTCAATTTACTGCCTCTGTCGCACCATAAAAGTGTTCACGTAGTGTAAGAAGATACATGTATTCCTTACGCCACACATTAGACCAATGATCAATTACTTTATTTAACCCTTTGACTGTTTCCGACGTATAAATACGTCTTACGAGCCAATGTTTCTGACGTATTTATACGCACAAATTCTAGCGGCTTCAAATCGAGCGCCAAAGGCCTGGTAGGCCTACACGGGAGAGAATGGGTCTCAGTGGTCGGTGTGCACCCTGTGAAAAAAATCTGGGACCTAGCGGTGCATTGTGGGAACGCCATGTTGTCAGTCCATTTTCACCATGCCTCTCGGTAAGAAGTTCCTCACTCCTCGGCGGATTGGAGGTCTTTTGTTCCCAAGTGATAGCTCTAACAGTGATGAAAGTGTCAGTGACAGTGAATTCAAGGTTTTCAAGTGAGTGTTACCGAAAAAAGTGCCAGGATAACGTAAATAGTGACGAAAACCCAGATGACCCACAACCTTCGACCTCTGGTGCTGTGCCGGCTTGTTCACGTTCACGTTCGCCTGTACCAGGACGAAAGAGGAAACTATTTGGTAGTGTACAACACCCTGATGATAGCAGTGATAGTGATAGTGATTTCAAGGTCATTGAAAGCAGTTATAGTGACAGTGAGAGTGAATATTCCCCAGTGAAGCGCCAGTATGTACGACGTAGCATGCGGTCTGGTAGTGTTTCATATGTTGTTCCAAGGGGAAGGAGAAACTCTGGGAGCACATCCCGTGGCCCAACACCACGACCTGATAGTGAAGATGACGATATTGTAACGATGGGTATGAATGGTGACAGTGAGGGAGGAGGCAGTGGTGGTGATAGTGAGGGTGGCACGGCCCATGTGGCACCATCACCGGGCCACGCTACTAGCCACGCGGCTGACTCAGCAGAACAACCAGCCTCACCCTACCCCACACTGCCACAACCTGCACCACCACAACCTGCACAGCCACAACCACGGTACAATATCCAGACCCCACCAGCAGACCGCATCTGGGATTGGCAGGACGGTGACGAGTTTGTTCCCAGTCCCCATGACTTTGATGAAACACAAAGTGGAATAAAGCCATCTTGTCCACTTGGGAACAATGCCAGTGAACTGGAGTGCTTTGAGTTATTTTTCGATGAACCCCTGATGGACATCATTGTCAGGGAAACAAATACATACTGTGATTACACCATGGCAAATACAATTCTCTCACCAAAATCACGGCTACACAAGTGGAAGGAGACAACTGTGGCAGAGATGTATCTGTTTTTTGCCACAATAATGCTTATGCCACATGTGTATAAGCACACTGTCACCACATACTGGACAACAGATCGCCTGATTTCAACTCCAGGTTTTAGTGACATTATAGGTGTCAATCGTTTCCTGATACTGTTGCGTATGTTACACTTTTCAGACAAAACCAGGCCTGACAGAAGCGACAGGTTATATAAGATAAGAAATGTGTTTATGTACCTGAAACAAAAGTGCTGCATGTATTTTTATCCCTTCAGGAAGCTTGTTATTGATGAGTCCTTGATTTTATTCAAAGGAAGACTCTCATTCAAGCAATATATACCAAGCAAGAGGAAACGCTTTGGTATAAAGCTATTTGTACTGTGTGATTGCAGAAGTGGTCTTGTTTTAGATATTATTGTGTACACTGGCAGTAATACTTTGAGAGATACCATGAAGTTATTGGGTATCTCTGGTGATGTGGTTCGAACAATGATGGAACCATATCTTGGTAAGGGGCATATGTTATTTACTGATAACTGGTACACAAGCCCCTTACTCAGTGATTTCTTGCGAGTGAACTTGACAGACGTGTGTGGCACAGTGCGTGGTAATCGCAAACATATGCCAAGGTTCGACGTTGGCACTTGCAGAGGTGAGGTGCAAGCCTTTGCTGCCAATGACATCATGGCATTTCGGTGGCATGACAAACGTGATGTCACATTGTTGACATCAGTTCACACAAACGAAATGGTACCCAGTGGCAGGGACAAACAGAGAGACCAATGAACCCATTCTAAAGCCTGCAGCTGTCATGGACTACAACCTCAATATGCACTTAGTGGACAAATGTGACATGCAGATTGGGTTTGCAGACTGTGTACGCAAGAGTTATAAGTGGTATATCAAACTTTTTTTCCATCTTGTTGATATCTCTATGCTAAATGCTTATAACATATACAAGTTGAAGACCAACAAAACACCAAAATATGGTGAATTTTGCCTGTCAGTAATCAGACAAATAATTGCAAAGTACCAAGGAGCAACTCCTGCAGTAGACCAGCGCCCACAGACGTCATCTCGTATGAGGCCTGGTGATCACTACCCCCATACAACTGCCTCCTACTACTGCCAAGAAAAATGCTCAGAAGAGGTGTTATGTATGTATGCATACCACAAAACGCCCACAAACACGCAGAGACACTCGTTTTATGTGTGAGGAGTGTGAAGTGCCCCTCTGCATATACCCA